ATTTAGGGACCAAAAGAGCTTTTAGTACTATTTCAAATGAAAAATGTTCGTCATCATAATGCAGAGAAACTCTTACTTGTTATAAGCATTTTTATTCTAGATGAATTGGACGACATCTTCTTTGTAGGCCTGATGGACGTCCTTATCTGTCAAAGCATTTTTCTTGAACCTTGGATCTACTAAGATTAAAACTGATAAAATAATATTTCACTGTTGCGATAAGTTCAAGTTTTTTAGCCGATATCATATAAAATAAACTTGAAATATATCGGTATCGGGTACCGAGTATTAGGTACCGACAATTTAGCACATTCAATATTCATTTGGGTATACATCTTTCTGAAGTTCAATAGCGTGTCTGGTCACAGTTGGTCATCATTGGGGCTCGGAATCTCATGCACTAAAAAATAAAAAAGTATGCATTTAAAATACAAAAATATGCGCTATAAACAAGTAAAATATGCAATTAAAAATATTTTCCTAATATTTTATTGCCGGTACAAAAATAAATAACAAGTGTATTTTAATAAGAAAATAACGAAAACAATTAACTTCAAAATGTAATATACATTTATGCATAAAATTAGTTTACAATTTAGCAGACATTCACAGTTTAATAGTGGTTCAGATGAATGTTTGGTTGGTTTAAGTGGTGACAAGCTATTAGTAAATTAGCCATTTTGATTCCACAACTTGTACAACCCACAGCCATTTTGCGGCTTTAATGAATTTCAGTACATCATACATAAAGAGGCAGCTGCACTCTAAAACGTCCTGCAGGAATGGCTTGCCGAGTGCCTAAAGCCACATCCTTGCAAGGGCTGGACACTCGCACAGAAAGTGTTCGGCTGTCTCTTTTGAGCCACGGTCATCGCAACTGAGACAAAACTTGTTACAGGCCAATCCTTTGTTCATTCCTAAGAGAGATTTGGTTTTAAATGGGTCGTAGGACACCCAGAACTGCCGGATAATCCTGTACATCCTTCATGGTTCCACCTCTTCTTGGCCTTGGAGTGATAAATTTCGGTAACTTTTTAGTGGGACACGTTCAGTGCCGATCCGCACCTTGCCAGTTCGTCCGCTGCCTCGTTTCCGCAAATGTCTCTATGTCCCGGGACCCTTAGTAGAGTAATTTCATATTGATCAGAGATATATGCTAGCTTTCTTCTACAGTCCTCCACTAGTTGAGATCTAACAGAGGTATAAGGGAGGGTCTTAATGGCCGCTTGGCTATCCAAGAAGATATTCAGATGAATATTTTGGAAAAAATTATCGGTAATTTTTTTTTGTCAAGAGATTTCGCACTAAATTTAAATGATTTTAAATTTAAAAAAAGCAGAAACATGTATAACTATATGCGTTTATTGTAAAATATAATAAAATATGCGCAATAAATATGCACAAATAGGTATTTTTGCAATACATATATGCAAAACTATGCATTTACTGCAAAATATGCTAAATATTCACTAACGATTGAATGCCATTTTAAAGGAAATTTCATGATTCGTAAAGGAAACTTTACAATTTCCGTTTGAATATGCACAATAAAAACATGCATTTGCATGAGATTCCGAGCCCTAGACATCATCAAAACGTGGACAAACAAGCGAGCGAATTAATACAAGTTGGTGTTATTAGACCAATACTTTCATTCGCC